TCAATACACCTGTGCCGTACAATTATAATAATTGAGCAGATAACGGTCTGGTCTTACAATTTAAAGCTTTCATCTTTTCTAGATTCTTGAGAACGATTCATTCTGCAAGTTCAAATGATAAACGTCTTCTCTTATCACCACTGTCTCCATTATTTCCGATAAGTGTCTGGTAAGAAAAGAGACGTATGAGCAGACCAACGCTAAGCGAAACGTCCGCAGTGAAAGAAGGGACGGACAGATAGTTGAATCATAATATGCAATAAGACGTACAAGGTACAATTTGCACCTCATATAAAAAAGGCAAGAAGACAAAAGTTACGAGTAGCGAAATACTGCGAGTTTTGGAGTTATGAAACCAGTTGCTTTTAATGTCTATCTCTCAACTCTTTGAGAAGACACACTGGGCTATCGTACAAGCAAACAAAAGTCATTTCTCAAAACTAGTCGATCCTCCTTTTGAATCTCAGTCATCCTAAAAGCTTAACTAATAGTGGAGTGCACCTATGGGATACGCAATTTTAGATGCAAGTAAGGGCTTTCTTTCTGGATTTCAAAGGCGCCTACCATATCTGCCAAGCAACCAGTAAACTTTCTGTCTCTAGTCGTAGAATTTCGATGAAAAGTAAAAAGTTTATACTTTCATTGAGGCTCTTGTGTTGATCGTCTTAAAGTGTGGCGTTTTAAATTCGTGAAATGCTTCATTCAGACAAAAATGTAATAATTTATGTGATATTTACAATTTTAAGCATATTGAAAACTAAAAGTTGGTCAAAGCTCTGAAAAGACTTATCCGACATTTTGAAGCTTTCAGCACATGCAGTCAACTGTCCAGCTGGCTACGTTATTGGAACCAGTGATTTTTGCTATAAGGTACTATAACAACTGATTTTCAGTCTTTCTTATCCAAAAATTGCATTATTTCAGGTTTACAGCACTTACTCCAATTACCGTGACGCTTCCGCTCAATGCCTCAGTGATGGTGGCCAATTAGCCTCCATTCACAACGCTTTTGTTGGTTGTTGACTACAGTTTTCTTCCGTTTAGAACGTCTATTTACCCATTATAGGTTAACAGCTTCGTCCAAGATTTGGCTGAGAAATCTGGCACAGTGATTTGGTTAGGTCTGAGGTGTCCCGATACAAACGTAAATAATTGCAGATGGGAGGATGGCATGGGCGCCCCAGCTCCATACAATGCTTTTTATCCAGGTAAAGGGCACTATGGCCTTTTGCAGTGATGCCTTTTGGATGTTTAATTTACAGGTAACCCTAGTGGAATTGGCGAATGCGTACTCATGATGGTCAGTGGAACAGCTAGTGGAAGATGGATTACAGGGGATTGTAATAGTATGCAGATTGGATTCGCCTGTCAAGTGGAATCAAGCAGTTCGTAATATCGTTTAAAATTTCCTATTTTTATACTCATTTCTTTTATAACC